TCGCTGGACCTACAGATACGTACCGATATGTTTTTAAAATTTGCAGCTGTTACTCGAGGAAATGGCATTCTGAGCGCTCCTGAACCTCCAAAGCTCAAAACCTCAAACATTTTGGAACTTTTGTTAACACCTTCGCTAATTAGGGGTAGTGAGACACTGGGACAGATTGACCAGAGAAGCTGTGGCTGCCCCATCCCTGGAAGTGTTCAAGGCCAGGTTGGATGAGGCTTTGGGCAACCTGGTGTAGTGGAGGGTGTCCCTGCCCATGGCAGGGGGGCTGGAACTGGATGGTCTTTGAGGTCCCTTCCAACCCAAACCACTCCATGATTCTATAATTGCTGATTTAGAGTGAACCACCACCCCTACGTTGGAGCCGCGTTAACTGAGGACACTGAGGGAATCCCGTCTCTACCAGGACAAAACCGGAGGGTGCCCAGGATGAAACGCCCACGGGCTGTGCCCCTGCCAGGCTGCTGGTCCCAACACCAGGGACACAAACCAACCCCCCGTTTTCTGCAGGAGGGGAGAGACGCCGAGAGGTGAAGCTGCAGCTCCCACATTGCTCTCGCTGAATTCCAATCCGTTTTTTCCGCAGTTACACAGCAGCAGATTGAAGCAATTATTGCACAAATAATACTTGTTTATATTTTTGGGTTTTTTTAATTTTACCTGATTTCCTCCCATGCCGTGGCAGTTGAAAATGCCCACTTTTTCGTTCTCCTTGCGGCCCATGTTGTCTAAACACTGGTTGGTTTCGACGTTCCTGATCTGAAGAAAGAGAGAGACGAAACGTTCCTTGAAAAAAATGCCTGTAAATGTCATATTTGTGCAGGAAAAAAATACATAACTGCAAGAGAAAGTACATTATCCACGCATTCAACTATACGAACGTCTTTTAACTTGCAATTTGCAAATATGTCACACCCCCAAAAGAAAATGGAAATAATTACAGAGAGTATAATGAGCTTTTAAATCATGCCCTAAGTGTAAGTACAAACAGCATTCCAGGAAAATCTCATTCTACACCCCGCGTTGCTTCGGTTAACGAATGTAACACGCTGCTACCTCTAAACACCGCAAAACTAGCGGCTCGCCCGAGATGGGCACTTTTGTTTTCTTCCAGCAGGGCTGACTCTGCTCCAAGAGAGAAAAAACTGCAGAGGACAGCGGCTGGCGGCTGCTGGATGGCTTCATGACCAAGCACGTGCTTTTGGGATGTTTTTTAAATAAAATGGGACCCGCTGTCCGTGGGACCACCCCCAGCACGACCACCCCCTTCCCACCACGCAACTGCAACGAAAGACCGTCGGAGTGAGAAGTGATACGGGGCAGAAGGGTCAGTACCAAAGCAGCGCTCCCCAAAAGTTATTTTTAGAATATGCATTTATCCAGGAAAACAGCTGAGTATAAAAGCCAACTGCAGCCTCCTATGAGAAGCAGGAGGTGCTGGTCCCTCCGAAGCTCTGCAGCATCACAGTCTCCAGGACAGTGTGTGCCTTCAGCCCATGCAAACCCTCCCACGGGCACATAATACCCTTTTTCCTAAACCCTCCTCGATTATCTTCAGGGCAGTTGTACAAACACAGCTCTCCTCCTGCTCCTCATCGCTCTCAACAGCATGGGGTGATTTTTTTCTTATTAAAGGGTCCAAAGCAAAAACACCTCTCCAGCTCTCCTTCCTTCGGTGAAACTCTCTATTCTGCAATACTTCAGCGGCACTTAGCCCAATTCTGGTCACCTGCCACTCTCCGTGCCACCCGCAGAGGCTCAGCACGCCTGGCACCAAATGGCAATCCAACACCACCAGGCTGGGCTTAATTTAGCAACATCAGCAAAACGGGATAGTGCAATCCGATTAAGGACGCTGGGGAAAAGTGGCTCAGCAAAGCTCACGTGGTCGCCTCTTAATCTGCTCTAAAGTTGTTAATCCCACGGAAAGAACTCGCACCACCTCGTGCTGGTGAGTAATCTCTCCGAAGATGATGGTCTTAATTGCTTCATCCCCCATGGGCTGCTGGCAGCAGGGGAAAGTCGCTGACCCAGGGTTCAGACCTGACAACCAGATCGCTGGTTTCCATCACCTTCCATTCGCTTTTGAAAAAAAAAAAAGACCTTTTTTCTTATGTCACCTTTTTGTAGAAATGAAGTTTCAAGTATTGCCACAAGAAAGCCAATTAAATTTTTTTTTTTTTGCAATCCCTTCATTCGTTAAAACAGAGGACTGAAACAAAAAGTGACTTGAAAACTCATCTATGATTCTGACGTCTTGGGTTTATAAAATAAATTCTTGCCTCATATTTACTTTGTGTTCACTTTCAATGCTACATGATTAAAACGCAAAAAAGATCCAATATTCACCAGGTTTTGCACATTTAATGCCCCTTCTGAGGTATATTTTTGTCCATCCGGGAAATTCAAATCTAACGCAGTGGCTGTATATAAGTTTATTTTTTTGCAAAAACAAACAAAAAAAACACAAAACTGAAGAATAGGAAAAAAATGGAAGACACAGACTGCGAGAATGTGCATAAACAGCAGCAGCTTATTGCCTCCAATTTAAGTAATTCATGTTCTCTATGTCAAACAAGCTGAGATGGGACAAACTGAAACAATGCCATGAGGATGTAACTAGAGAACGAAATGTCTTAATATTTTTGTTTAAAAGATGCCAAAATCTGCCTGTGAAGCGTACAATGAATAAACTTCACGAACCACTTAGGAACTTTAGATCCACACCACTCCCCATTTATGAAATCTCATTTAAAAATCGCACGCTTCATTTATAAAAGCGACCAACGTGTATCAATAAGTTGTTCAACAGCCAAATCAAATCCAAACCGAAATGTAATATAAAAATGATGAATATTTCCGACACGTTGGGCGCTGCGGGCGAACCACGTGTGAACATCACCCCGATTTCAAGTCACGCCGGCACTATCTTGCAGGAGGTCGTAAGCAAATTAAGGATGACTATCGCCAAATCTGATGAAATTATTCCATCTTTTCATCCCTGTTTATACTGAAAAAGAACCAAATATGGACTCGCACAATATAACCCGAGGCCCAACGCTGAACACTCGTTACGCTGAGATTGCACCGTACCAGGACGTTGCAAACCAGGTCAACTAGAGAGTCATTTTCTCAGATTTTTTTTTACCAAATCTGGTTCTCAGCAGCCAGCAAACCCGTGGCTCCCGCCAAAGGGCTGCTGAGCATCATTTCCCCTCTGGCTTGAGGGGAAATCATCTCCTGCCCGGGCCACCTCGGCACACAGCCCATCTCCCAGAGCGGCCAGGAGCGTCACGGACCACTTCTGGACCAATGACCCCAGCTGCACCGACACACCAGATGGTTTGGCTTACCCAAGACTAAACACCTGCTGAAAGAGAGGAAAACGACTGAGAAATACACTTCTGATGTTTTAAAAATTGTCCATTACTGCTGCTGCTGATGGTACCTGAGCTTCACGGCTGAAAATCCACTTTACTGCTCAACTGGTAGTCAGTTGCTGCAATAGTCAAGCACGAGTTTTCATGCATAGATCCTGCCTGAATTGCTGTTTCCATAGAAACTGAGGCCGTGCTGGTAAAAATAAGGTGTTTTAATAACGATTTTATTACTTTCTCATACTTCTATTTTCCAGTCTGACAATATCGTACAAAACCTTATTATTTGACACTCGGTAGATGAGTTCTTTCCTTGCCGTAAAACCATGTTTCACTTTATTTTGTCATAGTTAAAACTGGAAACCCTACTGTGGCTTTTATTTTTCACCACAATTGCAAGTTTCAAAAGTAAATCACTTTCCTGGATGTAAAAAACCCATTTGCTCATTTGATTGCTATTCTGTCCGTGGCTCTCTTTAAATCAAACCGTTCAAGAGCTTTTAAAAAGTCAGCGTAGGTACAACTCAATAGAATATTTTTAACAGTGAATTAGCTGAATTTTAAAGAGACTTCAGTTCTTGGTGGCGCTGGATTATTAGGAATGTCTGTGATACTCGGCTCCAGGCAGCCTTGCTGGAAAACACGGCATCAATGAACACACACGTTTCTTGACAAGAAAAAAAAGACAAAAAAGAAATAAAAAGGCTTTTTCTACTCTACACGTAAGTGATGATGGAAAGTTTCCTTCAACTACTGCACGCTATGCAATAATTTCAAAATATTAGTCACAAGCCTCACTTCTCTGATACGCCACTCAATGGGAAAGACACATTTTTAACGGTGAACACGGACATTCAGAATAGCAACGCCCCTTAGGAAAGACTTAGAGACAATATAACCTGCTCAAAACAGAGGATAAATAAGATATGGAGAAGGCAGACAAGCACTTTAGCCCTTTCTCCAAAACCACTCCATCACCTTAGCGATGCCTCAGCGCCCTTAGTGCTTCGCTTTAGCCGATGGGAAGGGTTCGTACCTCACCGAGGGAGAAATAGCGCCGCGGGATCTGCGAGTCGGGGTAGATGTTCTCCAAGTACCACGAGAAGGGTTTACACTTCAGATTTTCTCTTAGCGCTTTTCTGACGGATACGTCGCCGTAATCCACCTTAACAACACCTGGAATTGTGAAGAGAATAGATGATCAGAGCACGGCTGCTGTAAAGCTGCAAAGCATCAATCACAGGTCCTCCTCCAACCTTCACTGTTTCCTTTTTACCAATATCCATTTGCTGGAATTACGGTACAGCAATACGTGAACACACGTGCAGCTGCGACACCTTCACAAGCATTAAATAATTAATGGAGCAAATTGAAACGCTTGGAAAACTGCATTTTTTCTTTCCAGATAACTGAATGATCCGGAAAGGCAGGACCACCAAACTCCTCCATTTCTTCATATTCCAAAATACTAAAGAAAGGAAAACTCCATCTGTTCGCATTTTTACAAACCATTTTTCCCAAAGCATCTTGCTGGTGTTAGCACTGTGTTTGAGAGAAACAACTCGAACGAGGCATGGCTAGTTTGCTGATGTCATTTAGATCACCCCTTGGGTGATTTCACCAGGAAAGACACATTCTCCATTTAGGAGCAACGGGGTTTCTCAGCATGGAGAAGATGTCACATCCTGTCACAGTGAAATCCTCGCCGTGTCCGGCCGTGCCGCTCCTGCTGCAAGGCTTTAGGTCAGAGACCTGAGCCAGTGTGAGGTAGTAAGAAAGATAACCAAAAATCCACAAAGCTCATCAAATACTCTCTGTAGCTTAAAATATTCTAATTTTGGACGAGAGCTATTGTCCAAAGAAACAGAGGCAGGCAAACGACTAGTAACTGCCAGCGCTCAGCTGAAATAGTTTGAAAGACACTCCCAGATTTATATCGGAAAGCCACACTGTGTTTCCATCACCTTCTGCTTTCCATTATTTATGGGACCTTGTTTTGAAATTACCATAGAGGTGAAGCTCCAAGGATATCAGCATATCCTGCTAGGAAATCATGCCCGAAAGCACAAGATGGTATCAATTTTTAAAGAAATCCAGTACACAACAACAGCAAAACTATTCATCACTATTAACAAAAAATTAACTTATTTCGGATAACCATGCTTATCCATATTTCCAAATCTTTACCCGTTTGTCTTCGAGAAATTACATTTATGTATCATTATGTAATTGTAGGATATGATGTAATTCTAGATAATTCACTAAAATACCGGATACTCTGCAAATTATAGCCACAGGCTAAAACCAAGGCGGGTGCTCCTGGGGAGCACTTTGGCCTGACCACAGTGGCTGGGGGTGACTGATGCTTCACCAGCTCCGGATCAGGAAAAACTCCTCAGAAACTGAATGTTCTTGGTTGGTGCCAAGAAATGAAGCGGCACTTATGCCATCATTAGGAAAGCAGGAAATTTTAAACTTCAGTAAAGAGAAGCATTCAAATAGAACCTTCAGCTGTAACCCATACAGAGAAATTACATCATAATAACTTAGGGGATGGCAGAAAAGAGAAGACAAATCAAACGCAGGTTAAATCCAGGAAAAAGCTGGCACAGGGGAACACAGGGGCTGTAAAGGATGGATGTGGGGATAGGAGGCTTCCTCTACTCCATGATTCTCAGAACATCTTCTGGGCTCCAGTATGTTCAGTCAGGCACTGGGGGAGGTTTTACAAAATTCTTAAAAGACTCAAAGATTTTTATTTTTTTTTTCCCCTCCCGAAGAAACAGAGGTAATTTATCAGCTGTTCTGCAACCAAGGAGACTGATGACAGAGTTCCATTCCACTCTGTGTAGGGGAAGAAAAACATCGAAAGGTCAGTATTGCAGTTGTTATTTAATATTTTACTTCCAAATGGATATTTTTCTCGAAGCACAACTCAGGCAGTCATCGATTTAACTCATACTGGGCACCTAACCCCTGTGCTTCCATTAAGCAGCATCTTGAGGCTGTTTCATTGCTTTGTGTCTATCTGCACCCACCACAAAAGGACCCAACGAAACAGCCACCGAAGAGCACACGGCTCTGGAGCAGGTTGGGCACGAGCAGGACTGTGACATGAGTTTTGCTGCTGAGTATTTGCCAACGGTGGAAGATCCAAAACACCTGCCTGACTCCAAAAGCTATCTGTGCAATGTGTGCTACCCAGGACTGAGCTGAAAACATCTTTACTTTCAGAAAAGAGACTTTATTAAAAAAAATAAATAAATAAACATTATCTTTTCCAGGCAAGGGGGAGTGGGGTTATGATTGCTGCCTCTTCCGGAGGAAGAGACGTGCACTACTGCTATTATTTGTGCTCCTCAATGCTTATCTATAATTAAGCTAATCTTCCTCATGGGAAGGCAACGGAAGCGTTAGGAGAAAAGCAATATGTGTGTTTTGTAGCACTTTGTACCGTGGGGATCTGAGGCAGGTGAACAGGAGGAGAAAGGATATTAAGGCTGTTACAGTCTGGGATGGCAAACACCCACCACAGCCTGCCCCGCTGCACGCACACGCTTTGATGTTCCAGTTACAAACCACATCAAAACCGCTGTCTCTCAGTGAAAACATCCTGCGGGTTCGCCGATCCCCTTGTTTCTGTTTTGTTTTACAATTCTTACAGAGATTTCTATTTCCACACTTGGTTCAGCCCCGCAATTGCTGGAAGAGAAAAAGCAATAAACCTTTCTCCACCCAATGTGACTCAACTTCATACTTGAGTTTTCTGTAATTAAACAAACTCCAGCAAAATAAATTCTCGTTTTACATTTTATTAAAAACTTAGCAGCCGAGATGGGGAGTCTCTGGTGGGTTTGGCACGCTCACCTCACTAGGGTAGGTTTATCTCAAGGCTCTTCAGGTCTTGCGATCCCACATGAGATGCAGAGGCCGTGGCCACTGTGCCCCCCCAGCACGATGGTGACCAAGGTGGTCTCCCAGGCACTGGCGTCAATCCCCCCTTCAATTTGAGCTGCCTCTTCCCTGTCTCTCCATAGGGTCCTAATGCACATTGATCATATACTCCCCGCTACAACTCGACAGGTTCTCCCTTCCCAAAGCTCCTCTATATTATGTACATGGCTCATCTTGCACCAACTGGGCTGGCTCACTTCAGCACCATTCACTGATGCTGCCCGTAGCAATCCCAGCACATAGACCCTGCTTTGTCTTCAAGCAAGGACCTCATTTGTATGGATCTCCAGTAAACCTCTATACTCCCCCTTCTGCTCAATTTAAAACCAAGCTATTATGAATCAATACCTATTTATTGTCACTACTTGCTAAAAAAATCGATGGGACTCAGAGGAAATATAAAAATAATTAACGACTAATACATCTGCTTACACTTAAATAAGAAAACGTAAGTAAAATGTCCTTGGATGCAAAAAAAGAAAAAAAAAAAAGAAACCTCCCGAGAAGCTACAGAAAGCGTAGCGTGCAAGAGGATGGATTAGAAATATCTCAGGAAAGAAGCAGATTATTTTAACAGAGCAGCAGATGCGTTTCAAGTAGAACAAATTAAACGGTTGCAGCATTGCATTACATCTGCACTTTTTCTAATGGGCATGTCCTGCAAATCAGCATACAAGGACATAGTTTCAGAACTGGCTAAATGTACCACTTCTGCAGAACGAGACATCAATTCATGACGATAAAGACGAAAAAAAATTCATCTGGAATGAAACAGAAATCGCAGAACTGAGAATAACTTTCTTTATGTAGGTATAACACTTTGAAAACTTAATCCAAGTTAGGCTTTTGCTATCTTTTGCTGCCTTGAAAAGCCTAAGAGCAAACCATTGTTTCACTGAACCGCCATTCCAGCGTATTCCCAGGGAGAGCAAGGTGACCAGAGAAGCCAGTCAACACTCACCCGCCTGTAGCTCAGTCTGAAAACCTGCATCGTGTGGCACGGCAACCAGCTCGCTACCTGAGGTGCCCTCTTAACAGGGGAGAGCTAAGAACCAAGTCGGAGGCCACGGGGAACCTCCAGAGATGGAGATGGCTTTATTTGACTTTTGATTTTTTTTAACTACCAAAGCAGCATTCAAAATTATATTCAAGGCCAGGTTGGATGGGGCTTTGGGCAACCTGGTGTAGAGGAGGGTGTCCCTGCCCATGGCAGGGGGGTTGGAACTGGATGGTCTTGAAGGTCCCTTCCAACCCAAACCATTCTGTGATTGAAGACGGCAAAGTGCTAAATTAAAAATGAGTTTGCAACACCACGATGCCTGGTTTGGCATCTAATTAGCCAAAACACTAATTCCTTGACATGTCTTATTTATATTGCAAAAAAAACCCCAAAACGTGTAACTCATTAAAAAGTAAAACAAACAAAAACCATGTGCTAACTCAAAAAAACCCTCATCACCACCCACCCACCCTCCTCCTCCTGGAGAAGCTCTTCTATGGATTCATGAGTGATTTAAAATAAATATAGGTAGTGGTTTCATAATATAAAATATGGTATGGGATGAAGATTCTGAGCTTTTCATGGGAAAACATCAGCTATCTGTGCTTGGAGAAAATACGCTCACAATTTCTAACATTAAAAAAAAAATATTATCCCTCCAAAAAATGAGCCAATATTGTCATTATTTCTGCAAATAAAGCATTGCATGACAGTGTGATGCACTCTTAAAGTTTATTCTATGGCAAAAGATTAGTACTTGACATGTTGGTTTACTCTATAAATACACCTGTGATGTATGATACTTATCCATGTATATTTTAGAGAGAAAGACAGAGGCTAATTAACTCCTATGTTGCCAATTTTGTCCAGCCACTAAAGAAAAAAAAACAAATCATCTTACTGAAATAGATATCAATGGAACCATTACTATGGATAAAACTAATCCTGCATGAAGATGTTTCTCCAGTCCATATCTCAGGAAGGGTTTTAAGAGAAGGCAGAGTTGAAAAGAAACCTCTGACTTATGCTTTAAACAAACAGCACCAAAAAGTAAAAATTAAGTAGTAAAATTATTGAGGTACTAGAAGTATTTCGATGGTGGAAATGTTTTTTCCTGTGAAAACCATAAAACATACTACATTACAACTCTTCTTTGGAATCAAAAATATGAAAAATTGGGTGTTCTTGAGAAATTTTGTCTTTTTTACCAACACGTAAGAGT